AATGTCGAAGCCATAATTTTAGTTTAGGGTCCCATTTTTTTTAAATTAAGTTTTAAATTTTAAAAAGCCTAGCAGCCGACGCTAAGATTTTAAACTAGCTTTTGGCATAAAATAATTTGCTTAACATAACAGCTGTAAACATTCAGCTTTTGTGTCACAAATTCAGCATTTGGATAAAAATGTAAAGACAGTCATAGGGTTGACTTATTTATACTATGTGTAATGCTTATCATTGATACGTTCAATTCCTCTGTAAGAGGATGACAGATAAATTAAATATACATAGTAAAATACTAGGATGTTTAAATAATTTTTTTAAGCAATCTTTATAATCTTCGATTTGTTTTAGAGCAATATAATTTGTTTTAACTAACAGCTGGTTAAATATAAACTATGGAACTATGAGGTTATTTTATTTACTCTTATTTTGTCATTGATTATAGGAAATAAGTAAGATTAGTAGGGATAATTATACCTCAGTTTAAACCACAGTTTTAACCAAAATAAATTAAAACACAGTACAAATCGAGGCTCTGTACAGTGTACACGAGTCTTAATAAAAAAGGATAAATGCAAATTATTTTACTGCTACACTTTTCAAGGAAAGATTTAAAAAATAACAATGTTTACATGTTTTAATTCTTCATGGTAGCTTTTTGTTTACAATTAATGTTTGTCTGCTTTAACTTTGTTTGGAACCGGAAATATTGATGTCATAAAAAGAAGATCAAGAATAATCAGGAATCACGATTTTAAATTACCACCACAACCTCAGCCGGGTTTTATACAAAGATAAACAGATGGATGAAATAGATTGAACACAACGTCAACATTGACCTAGGATACTGCAATTAGACAAACCATCCTTTTATGAAATCGTGTTCAGTTGTGGTTACGTTTGGGGGCACCTATATCAGCACCCCCAAACGTGAAAATATCACTTTTATTTCAACTATGAATATATTGTAGTTTAAATTAACTAATATGGGAAATTACGATGTACATTTATTCAATGAGGATGGGTATTTATCAAGGATAGAACTGATAATGGTATGGATAATAAACATTGACAATTTACGTCATTAGCTTTACTAGCGTGTTTACTTTTAGCGAATTTCCCATATAGGGAATATTAGCGAATTTCCCATATAGGGAATAAGCTATTACCGTAGTACTCATGGTAAGACCTGGACGCGGGACCGATTTTTTTTTTTCGTTTTGAGGTCCCTAGAGGCCAAAAACACCATCCGTTCAAATTCATATACATATATATATTTATATATTTATATATTTATATATATATATATGTGTCCGTCAGAACGATAACTCGAGCAAAAATGATCCGATTTTGATGAAATTTGGTAGAAACGTGTAAACGTACGTTTATTCGAACAAGTTCACGATCCAGCATGATCGGACCATGGGAACGGGGGTTTACGGGGGGTTTTATGGGGTAAAAATAGGTTTTTCCCATTTTTTACCCAAAAAACATAAAATTTAGCAATTTCTTTCCAAACCATTTTGTAGAGCTTAAAAAAACAAATAATTTAGTATATTGAAGCGTTATTATGCGCCTAATGGTTACGGAGAAAATTCCAAAAAATTGTAAATTTAAAATTCCCATGTTATTCTTATGGAGAATAAGTAAACTGTTGTAGTTTGCTTGTTTGTGAACATATTTTGATCAAATTTGGAAAATGTTTTTATTTCTTACTAACTATTCACATTTTACAAAAAAAAAACAGTTTTACCCTCCCTGATGCAGCAAATTTAAGTACTTGTTAAACTAATTCTATTTAAATCAAGAATAAATGTTATATTTTTAAGTAGACATTTCAGTGTAAATCCAATCAGTCAAATGGAAATTCGCTTAGTCTGCAGGTTTGCTGCGGCGGGGGTATTTATATTCCTGCTACATGTGACCAGTTCTTTTTTTCAAATGAATGTTATTTGAACCAAACAGCTGTTTCAAAACAAACTGTTATTGTTTTTACTTTTCTTTGTTTACGCTTGTTTATTTAGCAATTAATGCAGTGAAATTGATATAAAGGATAGGTGTGACGATTAGTTTTGATGTTAGGACACCAAAGTTAAATTATGTGTACTGTGAATTTTATTGGATATTATCGTTTTATTTAGGTCGTTTCTATTCAGACCTACTGGAAATTGTGTATAGTAGTTGTATTGTGGTGATAATAATTATGGAAGAGGCAGGTACATGCTATGGAAGGTGGTATCGTTGACTAGGTCTATACACTTCTCAATTGACTATTACCACAGTGGCTGTGCTATTACTCTCTCTACTGTAGGCTACTTATAATCAGTGTGCGTCTGTGCGAATCGGCTGCAAATCTCACTTCAACGCTTTTCACATCGTAAAAATTGCAGAATTGCTGTTTTATTGTAGAATTATCAGATTTAAAATGCATATCGTACAGGCCTATGATGGAATAAAAACATATTATTTGGTCACACAACATTTGTTTACAAGATGATTTTTCACATTAAAACTGCAAGAAACTTTGCAGTTAAAAAAAGAAACTTTTATGTGTAAACTAGCTGATCTGAATTGTACACGGTTTTAACTTACTACTGAATTCCCGTACGTAGGACGGGTTAACACCTCGTTTATATTTATAAAGAAAGAAATAACTAATTATAGCCAAAACTGTACATACACAGCACAACACAAAAACTAAACAATGCTACATCTAAACTACACCTTTTCCAATTGTATTTCAGAAAGTATCACTTTTATTTCAGAATAGTCATTTGTATTTCAGAATCAATCAATTGTATTTCAGAATAGTCAATTGTATTTCAGAAGTGGTCAATTGTATTTCAGAATGGTCATTTGTATTTCAGAAGTGGTCATTTGTATTTCAGAATATATCAATTGTATTTCAGAAAATGTCAATTGAATTTCAGAATATAGCAATTGAATTTCAGAAATAAAATAAAATAATTTTCAACGGTTGGCACCGTTGTAGTTGTTTTCAACCAACTATGTACGTACATCTGATGTACTGTGTTTTGTTACTACAGAACACCTGATTGTATGAAGTAAACATAAACAAATAATACATTGTTGATCTGTGTACCAGTGCTAGGCTATGCTTTGAGCAATATCTTTTTAACACTGTAATAATTTAATTTTGTTTACTTTGTAATTTCTTCGTAGGGTTTTTTAAATATTGTTAAAGAATTCTACTACAAAAAATGGAGCTTAAAGACAATTGTGGCATTTGCATTCATTCAATGTTAAGAAAGCAAGTGATAAGACTTATTCCATGTAGGCACTTATTACATGAAAAGTGCTATAGAAATCAACTAGCAATCGCAGAGATGGAACAATGTCACGTTTGCCGACAGGAAATCGAAGAGACAGAAAATGTGATAAGAAAGGTTTACAAAAAAAACTGTGAAGAGGATAGGAAGAGGATTGTTAGCTGTGCTAACAGGGGAGAGGATTGGGTGGCACTTTGTAATCAACTGAATGTAAACTATAAAACCGCTTATGAATGGGTCAGGTCTGGAGAAGAAACGCCAAAGTTGAAAGGAGGAAAGAAGCCAAAAATACTTTCTGAGGAACAAATTGATCAAATCATAGAATGGGTTGAAGATGACTGTCAAATCAGTTTGAAACAAATCAAGAGGAAAGTTTTGACTACATTTCACACTGATATAGCCATTTCCACAATTGGCAATTATCTCGAGGGGAGACTCTGTAGAATGAAAACAGTTCACACTGAGCCCATTACAATGAACTCAGAACAAAACAAACGTTTGCGTGCGGAATATGTGAGAAACCTCAATCGATATATTCAAGAAGGTAAACAGATCGTCTGGTTCGACGAAACTAATTTTAATTTATTTTGCAGACATAAACGAGGGAGGGCCAAAGTGGGTGACCGAGCAATTCAAACCTTACCAGCAAGTAAAGGGCCAAATGTTCATTTGATTTGCGCAATATCGGGTGCTGGTGTCTTGTGCATGGAGCGAAGAAGAGGATCTTTTCGGAATCAGACAGCAAATGAATGGCTCCAGACTATGCTCCGAAGATGGCAAGAGAATGGTAACGAGCTTAAGGACCTGGTAGTCGTCGTCGATAATGCTCCTTGCCACAGCAGGTTGGAGGACGTCATAACTGGGACAGACGCAGTGCTGCTGCGGTTGGTGCCATATTCACCTATGCTGAACCCAGTAGAAACAATCTGGTCGAAGATAAAAGCATTTGTGAAAACCAACCTAAGAGAGCCAAATGTCAATCCCCCTGGTGTTGTGGAACAAAGACTCGTGTATCTGGAGGGCATCGTCGACCAAGCCATGAACACTATAGTTGGTGGAGACTGTGCTCGTGCTGTCCAGCACACATCTGTGCATCACCCTGCAGCGCTCGGGATGGATAACATGCAAGTTGGGCGTTGACAATAAAACATTGTTAGTGTATGTACTTTTAACATAAAACTTTTTAAATGTAGTTTTAAGCCATGTTATTTTTAGCTCATTCTTAAAGTATTTATAAACATGTTACAAAATTTTTTTTTTAATTATGTTCCCAGTGTAGCTGTAGTACATATTGTAAATAAATATTCTTAACTTTGTACAAGTCTTCTTATTCACTGTAATAGTAAAAATGGCCACGTTAAGTACCGTAAGGTAGAAGATAAAAAAGTGTAAAATCTTAAGATTGAATGGTAAATGAGAACAGCTGAGACAAGAGCATTTGAGTTTCCCATTCTGAAATACAATTGACTATTTCTGAAATACATTTGATTATTTCTGAAATTCAATTGACATTTTCTGAAATACAATTGATATATTCTGAAATACAAATGACCACTTCTGAACTACAAATGACTATTCTGAAATACAAGTGACACTTTCTGAAATACAATTGACAATTCTGAAATACAATTGACGATTTATGAAATTAACTTGACACTTTCTGAAATACAATTGGAAAAGGTGTAGTTTATACATATTTATCGAATTCTTACCATGCCAACCCATAGAGTAAGGGAAAGATACTTTAAACAGATTGTCATACTTGACTGTGATCTGTTTAATAATGTCGGCTAAGGCATCTTTTTGCTTGTCACTAAGATCTGTGAAGCGCTGCACATGTTTCAGAGGTAGAACCATTGTTTCATACGGCCAGACAGCCCAGAACGGAACCACCACAACCCATTCTGAGTTGGATACCACAATGCGCACCTGCAAGAAAATAACTTGAATTTTGTTTTGAAACCCCTTTATCTGCCCATCACAATACAGTATGTGGTGATCTTTACAGTAAAGGGTAGGTAAACGGTTTAAGTCAAAATGGGCAAAGCCAGTAGGCCTACAGTAGACTCCCTCTTATCCGGACACCTTTTAACCGGACATCAGTTTAACCGGACTACACTCGGCGGAAATGACATCTCTTTAACAGAACAATTTTTATCAGCACTTTGGTTTAACCGGACTAGATCGGCAGGAAGTGGGCAGTACCAAAACCACTGTTCTCGTGGGAAAGATTTGAGACCAGTGATCACGTGTCTAAATACAATGCTCTCCTAAATTTAAGTCGAAGATCACAGTAAACAGTCTGTTTTAACAAGTTTTTGGGGACGTCGGTTTAACCGGAAAACCCGTTACCCGGACTGGCCTCGGTCCCGAGGAGTCCGGATAAGAGGGAGTCTACTGTATAGTCACTGCAGTGATAAAGCAAGCAGCCGATTTTGAATCAGTAATGTCTAGCTTATCAGACCAAGATGCTCTGTGTTCAATGATAGATTCCTAATAGGCTATTACAATTGTAAGGCTTAAAAGTGAAGGAAGTTCAACAAATACAGTTGAAGTGGGGATTTCTCCTAACTGGGGATTTCTGTTTTTTGCCCTATCTAGTTGGACGCAAGGTTTAATTGGTTTAAGTGGGCTCCAAACCATCATTCCATAGGTAAAGCCATTGATAATTGGCTGGATTAACGTGGGCTTTCAGGACAGAAGTCCTGCGCTCTAACCACTACAATAGAGAACTGAAAGATAATGTATTTGAAACTAACAAAGAGTAGAATAACTAACAAATAGTAGAAAAGAAAGACATAAAATTTACCTAGAGGTTTTATAATGACAATATTGATGTAGACAAAAATATAAGTTGAGATTTAGAAGATTCTAAATGAGCGTTACCTGTTTCTTAACCTCTTTTTCTACATAGTCCATGAGTAGCGGCCGTCCGTGTTTCTTGTAGTACGCCAGCTGGTTATCATCTTTGATACGAGCCTCGTTTGGCAAAAATGAAGAAGCCCATATCTGGCAATGAGGATGGGGATTGGAACAACCCATGATGGCTCCTTTGTTCTCAAATATCTGCACCCAATCATACTTTGTGCCTAATTCTATCATTTGTTCAATCCACCTAACAAACAAATAAAAAAGATGTCTTATTTTACAACACCATTTAGATTTTTTAAGATTATTATGACACTGACACACCATGCAGGGTGCTTACACATCTTAACCTTTGAGGTTAGGCTAAATGTCTGTTTGCATTAAGTTAGCAAAGCTAATAATATTTTCGGAAAGTAAATTAAAGAAACGTCTTATAACACTTAAAACATATATTTACGCTTATACTGTTACTCACAAGACGGTTATAGCTATTTACATTACAAGTGGTGTAAGAGCGTTTTTACATCACGCAGGTGAATGTTGTACAACGAGCGGAAGCGAGTTGCAATTCTCCTAAGTGATGTAAACACGCTCTTGCGTAACGTGTAACGTACAAGATTTTACCTGACCCGACAAAATACAGGAGGTTACGAACAATATTTTTCATTATCCATTTCACTCATCTTCTAACAGTAACGTTCATTTACAAACAAAAGCTAGGTTAGGAAAATTCTTCAAAGCATAACAATAAAATTCAAGCGCACAGCTGATTTCTAGCGTTGAACGTAGTTGGCTAAAAAAAAAGATGGTAAGTGGTGATCGATTTCAATTGGACACTCCAATCATCATCAGACCCAATAGGCGAATAACAAGAATCTTGAATGGCGTCCCTACTTATACCCTATTGGCTACTGGAAGCACCGGCCAATACATTTTTATAAGTACAACTGGAATCAAAATGTACTTGTTCATTAATCAACTTATTTCTATTTTTACATTTTCTTTATAAATATACAATTCTTCCCAAGCATTCATTACATATCCTTTCTTACAATTCTTTAAAATATCTAAGGAAAAATGTAAAAATAGAAATAAGTTGATTAATGAACAAGTACATTTTGATTCCAGTTGTACTTATAAAAATGTATTGGCCAGTGCTTCCGGTAGCCGATAGGGTATAAGTATGGACGCCATTCAAGATTCTTGTCATTCGCCTATTGGGTCTGATGATGATTGGAGTGTCCAATCGAAATCGATCACCACTTACCATCTTTTTAGCGAATTTCCCTATAGGGAAGTAGCTATTACCGTAGGTCTCATGGTAAGACCTAAGCCCGGGACCGATTTACTTTTTCATTTTGATGTCCCCAGAGGCCAAAAACACCATTTGTTCAAATTTTTATATATCTATATATAGATATACAGTGGAGTCCCGATAATCCGAACTTCGGTAATCCGAAAGTCCGTTTAATCCGAAACCAAAAAATATATTTTTTAATTAAAAAAAAAATTTTGAAAATTTTTTTGAAATTTTTTTCGAAATTTTTTGAAGTTTTTTGGAAAGTTTTTGAATTTTTTTATTAAACTTTTGACACAGTTAGCTGTACCTCGTCAAAGTATTCTGTAGCGACTGGGCGAGATAGACTTTTTTGTAGAGTATTTTAGTAAATTAATATTTCACCATTTTTGTTATTACCGTAACATTTTACATTTTCGTCCGCCAAATCACAAATGGATTTTACTAAGTGATAATGCTGCAGCCAATAGGTCTAGCCTTAAGTAATGTGAAAAACAATCCCGGGCTCGTGCCTGCGTCCGAAAAAAGTAGTAAAAATAAGACAAAAAAATTTCAAAAAATAAAAAAAATTACAAAAAAAATTTTAAAAATAAAAAAAACAAAAAAACGTTTAATCCGAAATATTCGGTAATCCGAAATGGGCCCGGTCCCAACCATTTCGGACTAACGGGACTCTACTGTATATATATATATATATGTGTCCATCCGCACGATAACTTGAGTAATTTTTGTCCGATTTTGATAAAATTTGGTTTGAAGGTGTAAGGCGGGATAAACTTGAATGAGTTCGCGAACCAGCATGATCGGACTATGGGAACGAGGGTTTATGGGGGGTTTTATGGGGTAAAAATAGGTTTTTCCCATTTTTGACCCTAAAAACAAAGAATTTCACAATTTCTTTTTAAACCATTTTGTAGAGCTTAAAAAAACAAATAATTTAGTATATTGAAGCGGTATTATGCGCCTAATTGTTACGGAGAAAATTCAAAAAAATTGTAATTTTAAAATTCCCATGTTATTCTTATGGAGAATAAGTCAACTGTTGTAGTTTGCTTGTGTATGAACATATTTTGATCGATTTTGGAAAATACTTTTATTTCTTACTAAACTATTATCATTTTATAAAAAATCTTTTTTACCCTCCCTGTTGCAGCAAACCTAAGTACTCGTTAAACTAATTCTATTGAAATAGGAAATAAATGTGCTATTTTTATGGAGGCATTTTAGTGTAAATCCAATCAGGTTAATGGAAATTCGCTTAGTCTGCAGGTTTGCTGCGGCGGGGGTATTTGTATATTTACCGTCTTGTGAGTAACAGTATAAGCGTAAATATATGTTTTAAGTGTTATAAGACGTTTCTTTTATTCACTTTCCGTAAGTTTAATAACACGTACAATGCTGATCAAGAAGTTATCTAATAATATTGTAACACGTTCAATGCGGCAGTGCGATAGCCGACCGCTGCCAGTGGCGCAACTTCTAATGCGCTGCGTGGACAAGTGCGTGAAAACTTTTAAATTTAGCTTCACCAAAATGAGAGGCATATACTGCGTTCCAGTCGTTGTTGACGTACGATAGTTTTACAAGAACCCAACAGATAGCAGCACTAAACAATATACTGCTATCCAGCCCTCAATATTGTCAAATGTAGGGAAAAAGAAGGGGTGAATTACTCGGATACACTATAAAAATACCGCAAAAAAGCGATCAAGCACAGTTTCTGAGGTTAGGTTCCTTCCACAATGCTACAGAACATTCATTATCATCAATCTATTGCATGTCATTAGATTAAGCCTAAACCCTCATACTAGAACAAATCTGTAACAATCTCTACCACCAATAAGTAGTCGGATCTGAAACAAACCATACCAGATTGAAATATAACACTGGCACAATAAGCAACAAGCAAAACAACGTTTCACAGCAGTGGCTAACCTCGCAATGGAACTATAGTTTGTTAACGGCGCTTTGAGGAGTATACTTGTCGCGCGCCACTGGAAAGAGCTAGCGTGAACGTTTTAAGGTTAGGATGGGTGTTATGAATGAATGAGAGGAGAGTTTTCTGACTGACTCTGATTTATGCTATTAGGCTATAGTGTTTATTTACCCCCCCCCCCCCCTTCCCAGTGACATTTTTGTAAGGGACCGGTCCAAATCCTGGTCTAGTTACTATCCACAATGAATGACCTTTTGTTGGATAGCACAATTAGTAGAAAACCCAATGACAAATGGTATTTGGGTCTAGGGTCTAGTAACGGTCGCTTGAAATCGAACCAGCAGCCTTATTTTGAAGGTGAACACTATAACCACTCGGCTATTTGGAAAATTAATGGCTATAAGGCTGAGTATGATATAGAGCTTGCCAATCAGACAGTCAAATATCTGAGAGAAAATTTAGAACTCCATACATACTTCACAACTGGACCAGCTGTCCTTGATCATTGAGCAATAAAAATAATGGTCCTGGCTAAAAATCAGCTGATTATGTAGAGTGTGCCTAGCCATCAAGTGATAAATAAATACCATAAATTAATTGCAAAACAAACTTCCATGAAAAGAGAAAAATACCGTATAGGCCTATACTTTTTAAATAAAAAAATGTTGTTTGAAAAACTTACTTATCAATCACAGATCGTATTTCCTGAAGGCTCATCAGAGGCAGCGTGATGTTGGATTTTGGATGGAAACACATGACTCTACAAACACCTCGAGCTGCAGACAACCGGAACAAGTCATCCTCACCATTAGGGGGACTAGGCACGTCCGCTAGCAGCGCGGGGAAGTCGTTGTCAAAAACAAAGGTTGACTCGTAGCTGGGGTTTACCTACAAAAAAATAACACATTAGAAATATACTTTAGATGTATATCTTATGTCTATTTGAGTATTTGTTTGTTCCAGGTGAAAGAAAAGCAATCTGAATTGAGTGGGTTTAAATTTTGTTGTGTTTTTGTTATGTCCTTTTCTTAATGTCCTGTTGACATAAACATTTTTAAGGTAAAACTTTTGATATACATGGTAAAGAAATGTTTGCGTTTACAATATGTTTATGAAAGTGACATCACCTCATGTCTCATACCGCTACACCACTGACTTTAATTTTCATTAATAGTCATCAATGCCCCCTTAAATCACTCGCACATTTTACTACAAAAAAATAAACTGTTAAAATATTTAAGACATAATTTGTTCAGAATGATGGGATAGATTTTTACAGTAATACTATAGATGCGTTTTTGAGTAGGTATCTACATCATTTGATACCTTCAAGCATCCGTCCAAAAAAGGAAACGGATCCAGGTATTTACTAGAAGCAGCTTAAGATCCAATACTTTGAGAAAATAAAGAAGGAAGTTACTGAGTGTGAGTTACTCCAGAAACAGGAAAGTTAACGGAAACCAATTATGAATGTTAGCAGTTACAACAATGAATGAGGTTTGTCCAAGTTATGTGGCATGGAATAGTGAGTCGTACCTGACCATTAGGCCTAGTAACCCCTGGACACAGAGGGTTGCTAGGGTCAAACTCAGGGATGTTGGGGTCATTAGTTGCCTCTACTTGTCCACTCCAAGGTCTCTTCATACGATGAGGTGACACAAGCACCCACTCGCCCTTCAAAGGGTTGTACCGCTGATGCTGGTGATCTGGAACATACGATTAATAAAAATTAGTTCATAATAATTGCTAAGATTGAAAGAAAACATGACACAAGTAAAAATTTACGGTATCAGCAAATTGAGACATAGCCTATAGTTTCGCCCATTAGCTTGATGTTAAAATTTTATGTGGATTTGTAGGTAGGCCTGCAAACTACACAGACTATACATCTGTGGTCTCATTTTGTTCAAGTTTGAAATGTGGTTAAAATCTAATCCATAATATCTCCATTATCAAGGTATTTATTTAATTTGCATTTTGATCAATTTGATGAGGTTTTGTGGGGAAGATCGCACAATTTTTAATAATTTAGAAACCCTAATTTTTACAGCCTTAATTATCAGGGTTAAAAGGGCTATACTACCTACTGTAGGCGAGAGTTGAGAAACCCCCTGAGCCCTGGCCTATTCTAAAAATGCTGGCGCTTGCTACTCGACAGCTCGACCTGGGCTCGGCGCATGCTCATGCTCCACGCGGCAGTCAGTCAGGTCTCACACCCACAGCGTTAAAACCAAAATAGACAACTGTGATTTTAATTTATTTTTAGTACATGACTTTAATAATATTGTAGTAGGCTAGTAGATAGATAATTGAAGTACAATACATGTACGTCAAAATGGCCAAGCCAAACAAATTAAAAATTGAATATTAAACATGGTAATGTTCGTGTGGAATTTACTTGTGGTGCACTGAAGCAACGGAAGCGATTGTCTACTTCTAGGTAGGGTACAGTAGCTATTAATTTTTCTCCTTTAAAACAGCAAAAATAGGCAAACATTTCCATTGGCCTCTATGGAGGCTACTTTTCTGATATCCCACTGTAGATCAATCTGGCAAGGATAAGGCCTATATGACTTACCGGTCGCACAGAATTCCATAACTGTTGTGGTGAAATTTCTGAAAATAAATAAAAATTTATCATCAGTTAGGCATACCCTATAAAGTTAAATAAATAAACCAGTGGTATAAATTTTTTATTACTGTAAATTCAACCATAACACGGCATCAGAACAAATTTCCTCGGCATAGGCTTTCGTTCTATGAAAGCTCTCCGAAATACATGGCAGTAAAAGTTTGTAATAAATTAAAATTATAGGCTACAGCATTTTACTAAAAAATAGTTCCAAGAACTTAGTCCTTTAAAATCTTTAGACAAACTTCTCTGAAAAAACCATACTACAATTAAAATGCTACACTGAATCAAGGTCTTTTCTGGTCATTTATAAGGTACTAGTGGTCGTCCAGTGGTCGAAAATTCGACCAAAAACATGTAATGTTCTTATTGACTATTGGATACTGAAGTAGACATCCCATCTATATGGACCAGCTGTCGCAATTTTTTTTTTAACACATAGTTTTGTGAGCCAGTCACCGAATGTGTGTCTTAAATTCTATGTTCTACCTTATTTTTGTTGCTGACAAAGTTGATGGGTCATAACAGTTGCTATAGCTCATAATAAGTCATTTCATAAGTTTGACTTGGTAAAAAACATCGTGTATTCGACAGAAATTATAGTCATTTAGATCAGCGCAATCTGTTGGTGGCTCACATCAACTACAACGAATGTAATTTTTAAAAACTGGTGACTGGTGACAACTTTAACATGGGGATGGAATGTAAAGGTACAGGCATTGACTGTTGTAGTATTGATAGTCAGGTACAGGCTTCTCTATTTTCAGCCCACGCTGTAAATAAAACATCTGATTGTAATTTCTTCCATTTGTTTTGATTTTCTGTTTATATTTCGTTGTTATTTCGTCGCCAACATGGCAACCCATAAAGCCCATGTTAATTTTTTAAATTTTCAAATCCATTTTTTGTGCTTATAGTTGAGCCTATTTTAATATTTAAATGGATTCTGCACTTCTACAGGAAAATATATTTCTAACAGTATGCGTAGATTTTCCCTACGATGCACACGAGCTGAGGAAAAAGGTTTTAAAGAAACATGCTTGCCTATTAATATATAGATTTTACTTCTGTTAACTTTCAACTTAGTTTTAGTTTAGATTTAGTTTATACGAGAGGTCGTCCAGTGGTCGAAACTCGACCAAAAATATGTAATGTAAACTTACTCACTTCTCTATTTTCACCCCACACTGTAAATAAAACATGTGATTGGAGTTTCTTCCATTTGTTTTGATTTTCTGTTTATATTTCGTTGTTATTTCGTCACCAGCATGGCAACGCATAAGATCCATGTTAATTTTTTCAAATTTTTAAACTCATTTTTTGTGCTTATCTTTGAGCCTATTTAAATTTATAAAGGGATTCTGCACACCTACAGGAAAATAGCTTTCTAACGGTATGCGTAGATTTACCCCACCATGCACACGAGCTGAGAAAAAAGGTTTTAAAGAAACATGCTTGCCTATAGATAGATTGTGACAACACTCCAGTCTTTGTACTTGTGCATTTTAAGATGTGATGAGTTAATAAAGAATTAATCTGAATTACCTATAAATTAAGTTGAACTAAATTTAACACTTTTTAAAGTTTCAATCAAGAACCGATATTTGATTTTATGGTAGACTACATGAATTAGGTAGGTATCGGTAACTTAGAAGGTTACTGATGGTTGTAAACGAGGAGTGAAGTTCTAGACTTTAATGAACTTAGTGGATTTATGTTTTTGAAAATGTTTAGATAACTTAAAGTTTGGTTTTGGAGTAATTTTGTTACTCACCAAAACCAAAGTTAAGTAGTATCCCCTAACTGCACATGGTGGGGTGGTAACATAATAAACACAGGAAATGAGCGAAATAGCCTAACCTAGCTTAACTTTTATGTTTTACAACAACAACAAAAACATACCATTTCCACCTGTTAGCTAAGATTAGAACATTGTAATTCCCTCAGTAATATACCTACCGAGAAGTTTGCACTAAAATAGCAAAAGCTGTTTTTGGCTTTCAGTACTTTGTAAAAAGATTGATAATGTTATCAAACTTTGGACTCCACCTCAAGGTCACAATAATCTAAACAACACAACAAATCAACCAACAATCAAAACTATGCAAGCCAGCCACTCACTGCCGCCAGGGGCCAGGTGGTGCACTGTGCAGCCGAGCCAACTAACTACTAGCCAGACCGAGAGGAGAAATTTTCTGCTTCACAGAGAAGTAAAATTTTAATATTTTACTTCTCTATGTCTGCTCCACCGAGCTAAGTTTAACATGGTTTAACCACAGATAAAACTATAAATAGACTTCTTAGTTACGAAATTCACCTGATTCCATTATAAAGGTACATCTGAATCAGCTGATATAACATCTGTCTACTACTTGTTATATCAACAGCTGCTCAGTGCAAATACAACTAATGGATTAAAATCACTGTTATGTTCAATTCCTGTTGACTAAAATCCTAGTGATAGAGAAAAACATAGAAGGGCCATTATTTGTTATCTCCATCCTTAAGGAACAGCTGAAGCCAATTTTATTGTTAGTTCTGTCCGTTTTTCTATAGAGGTCGTGTTTTGTTTACAATTTGTTTCCCGTTATTACAGCCATTTAAAACCTCGTTTAACCAAATAATACGATCTAATCATAAACAATAACTTGTCCCCTAGTTATATAACTAAACAGTAAAGCACAAATCAAGAAATTAACCCTAAAATAATAGAAACAAAGTTTCGTCGACACTAGCGCCTTTGTGTCACGTACATGAACTAGACACGAAAAACGTGCTTCAAAATTTACAATGGGATGAGAAGTCTACTTGTGTTGGTTAGTCTATGGTTTAACCTAAGGGAGTATGTTTTATCTATGATTTAACTTATAGCTCAGGCTCAGTCGTCTGCTCCAAAAATAAAAATAACTTAGTTAACGTCATCAGATAAGGCATATCATAGTATTAAAGTTAGTTGTTCAATCAATTTAATTTGGACACCTTCGATCATTGGATCATTCGATCACCTCCTTACGCTTCCATACCATGTTTTCTCTTGTATTTGAAATCTTGTTGCATGTATATCTATCTCATGTACTATTTTGTATAATGGCGATTGCCGTCGAAATAAATAAATAAATAAATTGGTTATAGATTTGCCAAGGTATTTACACTTAAGTATGTTATTGAGCGGAGCGAAGCGAAGCTCTTTGGGATTCAATGCAATCTTTATAACACTTTATTACAATATTCAGGGGTGCCCACAAGGGGGGGCTGTGACGCAGACTGCGTCATTGAAATTCTTGGGGGGGGGGGCTCAAAAATTCAAATGGGGGGGGGGTGGCTAAAGCTAATTGCAACAGTGTTCAACGTGACGACAATCAAAAATATATTACACAGTCACCAGATAGAAAGTGGATTAATTAATGACAATAGTTATATTATTGAATTAAATTAGTTAAAATAGGATTTTAGGATAGTTTAGAATTCGTGTAGAAAGTTATTATTTAAGATTAGCAAGACGTGAGATCTAGAGGGAGCGCACGGGATGGCTCAACTGCTGTGATAGATAAAAGATAACGCGTGGTACAGACACGTCCAGCTACACCGCGACTTAGCACAGAACGCTTTGTTGACATAAAGCTCGTTAAAATACGTACAATCAAGTAGCATAGGCTACAATACTTAACAATATTGTGTAGATACTCGATTACCTGAGTTAATAGGGAGAGGGGGGGGGGTAATGAAAAATACGGTTAATCCAATAAAAACAGATGACAAACTCATTAAAACGCTGTAAACAGCAAACAGCCATTAACGTCACGATTTGCTTTTTTATAAACGAAATTCAATAGCCTATTGCATAATCATTATTATTGTGCAATAACATTATTATTGTAAATTTCAAATCATTTATCTTGGTTCAGTTGTACAAACGGCAACGTTTAACATTTTAGCTAACTCAAACTCAACTAATCACTAGCCAAACATTGCGTTGCTATAAATAACGTAAATATTAAAGGAACCTTTAGAAAGTGTTATAAGGTACTGCTCGTGATAGACAGATAGGCTACCGATAGGTGCTGTATCACAGCATAGGAATTGATAGATAAGTAATAAAAAAGTGTAAAATTATATTTAGAGACTAGCTGACCCGGCGAACTTCGTATCGCCTAAGTTATAGGTTTCCCCTAAGACAGACCGATGGAAAGAAAGTACCGTTACGTTTAATTTTCAAGATGATCTCGTTCGCATCGCTCAATCACGTCCTGGTTGAAGTTCGTTCGCTACGCTCACTCACCTTTGGGTTGGAGCTCGTTCGCTACGCTCACTCACCTTTAGGTTGGAGCTCGTTCGCTGCGCTCACTTGCCTTCAGGTTAGCTCGTTCGCTACGCTAACTCGCCTCCAGGTTGAAGTTCGTTCGCTACGCTCACTCACCTTTTGGTTGCAAATTAGCTGTTGTCATAAATGTAAAAGAAATAATAGTGCTGCACCCTGTTGGTAATCCTTGTAACTTTAATGCTATTGAACATCATAGAACAGAACCAACTTGTTTAATTGAAACAGCTGTTAAGATTCATTAATTCCATTTCTCATAAGGTTAACATGGGAAACTCCAGAGCCACTGGGGCGGAGCCCTTTTAAGAATTTCGAAACGGGAAATAGTTTACGTCCGATTCGCATACCTACAGAATTTACACACCAAATTTCATAACGATCGGCGAAGTCGTTCCGGAGGAGTTTGCAGACAAACACTGTGACACGAGAATTTTATATATTAGATAATTAAAACACTCTTAAAAAAGAATGTAACGAGAACAATCTCGTAATTCTTTTTCTTTGTTCTTCTGTTCTTTAATTGGTTTCTCTTCAATTCATACACAAATTCAACAAGTCGCCATATTTAGGCCTATTCATCGGCCAATCACAACCTTACTTAAGTTACCATGGTTACTAATATTTCACTCAATCACAGTTAACTAAGCATTATGATTTATCTATGATTATATCGTCATCATTCATTCCCCAGCTGTTGTATCTCAAATCTGTTGTAACATAGCGCACAGCAGATAAAACGGAGCAGACGATTATTGGCGCAAGCGTTGTTTCCATTTAATTTTCATCAAAGGAGCTTGTGATGTTTCTAAAGGGAGGGAGAGGGCATCGTTATATCGAGAAAGATGCTGACAATTCGTTAAGCAGAGGTTACGAACGCTATATGGATATTCTGGCAATAAAGAATTCCTTAAATTGAGGTGACTTATAAAACTCTAATTTTATTTATATAGAAAGATAAATTTTCCAGTCCTGTACAACACTAAATCACGGTCTTTTCCCTGTAATCAAAATTCAAGTACAACTTGATACACACAGAATCTCCGGTTCCCGACCTGGATGATGGCTAGTTATTTAATTTAATTTACAGTTACATATTAGTACCCGTGATAAATGAAACCCGTTGTGTAAGCCAAAGCCACACGGTTATTAATATCACTTTGTTTTGGATTTGCTTACAAACGTGATCGGAAATGGTTACAAACGTGATCGGAAATGGTTAGGGCCTACACAGTATTCGTAAACAACATTTATGTAAACATATCAGTTCAGCTAGGAAAAGGAATCTTTATCAAAACGGCTGTTCGTAATATCATATATGACGTGTTCTCTTAACAGATTATTAGTATTTCATTAATTAATGACGTATGTAGTAAACATGGAGAAAATAAACTAGAAAAATCACACAAAATTGTGTTTTTGATCGTCCGTTATTTTATTTCCAAAATAGTGAGGCCATATTTTAATGGCTATAAGGACTCTCTCGCCAATCCTGTGGATTCAATTAAACCATTAGAATCGTAATCGGTACTTTAGTTTTCTTTAGAGTAGACTGCATAAAAGGCCTTCTGGGCCGTGACAGACGGACATAAATTGAGATAAGACATGTTTCAACTTCTTCAATGTATAGAACATAAATAACCCAAAATATGTATAATTCTGAGCAGTGTACAGACTAAACTATAACTTTATTTATATAGATTAACTGGGTTTGAATTTTAAATATCTAAAAAAAATTATAAAACTTCTTTTATAGTTTTACAAATGTGCTGGGCGGGGGAATAATGTTTCTCATTTGTTGTGTACATCATTTATGGTGGGGGGGGGGGCTGTTGCTCAATTGGGGGGGGGGTGCGTCATGAGTCTAGGGGGGGATGGGCACCCCTGCAATATTGGCTGAACATTTTGGGCCAAACTTACCATTACCAAGGTTGTTTTTTGTCAAATGTTTGGATGGTTTAGACGGTACCAATTTCAATTTTTCGTAATCTATATATATAAAAGGCAAAGCCCTCACTGACTCACTGACTGACTGACTCACTCGCTCATCACTAATTCTCTTACTTCCAATTTACCTAGGAGGCTGAAATTTGGTAGGTACACTGATTCTTTAGGCATTAAATAGGAAAACTGGGATGTTTTTATTCTGATCGGACTCTCGGGCTCCGCCCCAGTGGATCTGGAGTTTCCCGTGTTAACCTTATGAGTACTCATTGAGTACTGTTGACAACAGCTGTTTCAATTAAACAAGTTGATTCTATTCTATGGTGTTCAATAGCATTAAAGTTACAAGGATTACCAACAGGGTGCAGCACTATTATTTTTTTAAATTTATGACAACACAGCTAATTTGCAACCAAAAAAGGTGTGTGAGCGTAGCGAACGAACTTCAACCAGGACGTGATTGAGCCATGGGAACGAGCTCACTTATGTAGTAAAACGGGGCAAAGCCCGCGGGTACAGCTAGTGCATATATAATTTTAAAGTAGATCAAAGTTTTTAAATTTTAACCAATGTTAAAATTTAAAAACACCATGATGGTTGCAAAATAACGATGTAAATGTAAACAAAATAAAGAATCATATAGCATATGTTAAACAGCCAGTAGTAGTGTTCTTTAAACTACGCAGTACAAAAATTCCAGTACTCAATTTATTTGTGACCTCTGATGATCTAGGAAATCGAGATTTTCCAGAAACTTAACTTTGTT